GTGATGCTGGTTTTTGAAATATCAATGAACGAAAGGATTTCTAGCTTAGTTTCTAACTGGGCTCCTTCCTCTTTCGAATTCGGAACGGATGAATACCTATTTGCCTTACAATAGCTCTCAAATACAGCAAAATTCAAGTGCAAGGTGGTAACGGACTACTCATCAAAGGCAGTTGAAATCTATATAAATATACTTAACATCAAATTCAGCATACAGTCCTGACGAACAACAAAGAAGGTTAGTTCAAGGATACTTTTGGTAACTAGGAGACTTCAACAGTGTTACTACGCAAATATTCTTTGTACATTGTATTCGACGAAACGGTGCTCGGAGTCGACGGTGGCGTCTTATCTGAAGTACTCAGCTCTGCCAGGACGGTTGGGTCGTCTTTACGCTGCTCTGATTTCTCATCGGTATTTTGCTTCACATACACTTCAGATGGCGGTCTGGCAGAGGTAGCAGCGCGACGGCCAATCAACCAGAACGTTTCCATCACGCCCTTACCCTGAAAAGGTTTTAGGATGTATATAAAAAGTCCCTCACGGACATGTTCTTTATGATTTCATATGTTGAGTTTTTTCCCTGCTTTGTGGGATTTCATAATATGAAATGATCTTAAGGCGGCCAGCTATTTCCACAAGAATCCTAAAAGTTGTTTGGCTCTCTTTCTTAAGATCTCTGTCATTGCTAGTTGAGGTTCCCAGGTCGGTAAGTGGATCGCTAGGTACGCTATCCATCCTAAAAGTCATTCCAGCGAAGCCATAGGAAAAGGAGAAGAATTTTTCTTTGGGGTCACTTCGATCTATTGCATGGGGAGTTGAACTACTTTCTACTGCTGGTTCATGATAAAAGCGAAAATTTACCTCGGCACGTAACCATCTGTGATGTAAACCCTTTAATAATACATTTTAGCACTCTCCTGTCTCATCTCATGTCTCTATAGAATGAGTACCACTGTGCTCCAAGTAAGCAACATCTCAGGGACAGGTGAAATAAATAAGTAAATAAGCAAATAATCAGGATGTAGAAGGAACTTAAAGATCACTCAATCGACTGCACTCTATACATGTTGTGAGTCCAAAGAGGACTGATGATCAGAAACAAGTTTTCTTCACCTTTATAATTACTTCTCCTCTTGACTGTGTCTCATAATCTGCTGTGTATTCGTTGATAAGCAAGTCGTGCGCTTCCTTAGACATATGAATGTGACCAGCTGAATGCATAAGAATTACCGGAAATGAACTGTAAGTAATAAATAAGCTTTACAAATCTTCAAACTAATGTTTTCCAGTTATGATCTCCCTGTTCTCTAGAATCCTACCATCTTTAACGGAACTAATTGTCAAAGGCAAACTTACCTTTGCCATTGCTTTCCATTCGTGATGAGGTGTTCACAGTGTCCCCAAATAGGCAGTAACGAGGCATACTTAATCCAACGACACCGGCGACACAAGGGCCTACAGTGAATTTGACTTTCAAGAAATACTCTTAAATCAAATACACTTCTCTTCACATTCCCTACAGGAAAAGGTTCCATTCCTGCCAGGAAAAAGGCGACCCGAATCAGGGCTCATTTTCATTGTAAGCGGTATTGTGGATTTTGCGTGTGAAAACTGCTGACCGGACTGGTGCAAATCCTTTGAAGTCTCATTCACCAGGGATGGGTCGGAGCCGTCTTTCAACCGCAAAGACAGAGTGCATGGGTGAGTATACACCGTGCTCCAGCGAGTTTTGACACGACGCTAGCAATGGTAGCCATCTCCCAGTTAGCAATTATAAGTATCTGATTGTAGAATCAAACACTGTTCAATTGAACAGAAGCAGGAGCTCTGGCAGATTATGGCCATATGGCAACTTGTGAAGGGTTGAATTGGATAAGAACATTTACCTGAGTTCAGCCCAATTCGAAGTTGAACTCTCTCTTTCGGAAGAGCAGCTATTCTAAACTCATCCACAAATTTCATGAAAGACAACGACAGCTCAGCTATCTCCTTGATATGGGTTGAACCATTTCTCACCGGAAGCCCAGAGACGCACAAATATCCATCACCAATCGATTCTACCTGAAAAAATCGTTCCCAGCAACGGTATTCAATAAGTCTAGGAAATAATGTAGGGATATGATAGGGAATGTAGAGGATGACTGAGAAATGCAAGCCCTTATTCCAATCCTTCCCCTCTCTCCTTACGTCAGACCTCCTTGGCCGACAATCTTGTTTCGAACAAATTAAGGTGACTGGAATTGACACTCGAGCGCTCTACG